TTGTTAAGGAGCCCAAAATGGTTCAATCATAGGCTCAGACACCTGATTTTGTGAGCAAGTATTGTGTTAAATCAATTATTGATATCAACAACATCATTATCTTTATCCCAACTATTAGGAGTAGGCTTTATGAGCTATCATTTTCTGTCTGTTTCTATTGAGTTATGCATGGAGGTTTAAACTTACTTTTTGCAAATAATTTTGAATAATCTCTATTCATGTTAACTTATTGCGCATATGATGAATGCACTTTCTATCTTTCATATTACACTTCGAGGTCACCAAAATTCATATGTTCAATTCACTTATATTTAATATATGTCACTCCATCATTCTTCTAATATAATTATTTCTTAATTAGTCCTTTAAAGATTTTGTAACATTTCTTTTAGCATTCTCATTTCTATCACAACCGGAGCTATACATAGGCAACTTTTGTAAGGTAAAAATTTGTATTTGATCAAACACAATTTTTGCTCAGTACATTAATCTCAGAACAAATCAAAAATAATTTGCAGTACTTTGTTCTCATTTGAAAAGATGTGGTAAAAATCAACATATGTATACCAAGGCTTTTTTCTTTCAACTTTGTCATACAAATCTGAGATTCTTGAAACCGGTACTACTATTGAAGTAATACCAAGCTTGTACACTAGGACTAGGTAAGAAATTATAGTTGTACATCGAAAATTTGACTGCACGAATCTTGAGGAAGTTATATGGATGAGACAGAAGATACCAAATGACTGCATCATTGTAGTCGAAAGACCGAGCCATCAAACATCATTTCATTCAATCGGAAAGCGAGCCAATCGAACGAAAGTACATCCGAGCTAAGGGGCACCGTATGTCTGAAGACGGTCGTACGAAATTGATTCCCTCAATCGATTTTGGGCCACTCGCAGAGAAGATCAATGGTTGCTGCACAAAACTCCCTTTCAATCTTCTATAAATACCTCTCGTCCGAAGAAAGACTACCCATCAAATTACGGTGACACGCCCTCTTCCTGATGGAATAAATCCTTCTCAAGGATTAGGAGGTCTCCACGAAGGGTTCTCTCAAGAAAGCCTACAAAAAAACTATCAATTGACTAAGACCTAGTTGAACAGTTATAAATACAAAACAGCATCAGTAGCGGTTACAAATGTGAAACGATGCCAACAACGGTTACTAGGTGCAAAAGATATCGGTGTCGGCTACAAATATATAAAGGTGTAATAGTTCATTTATCACTTGTAACATTCCTACTTTATCAGGAACAAACATGTAAGTTCCTAGGCCTCTCCTATAACCCTATAAATCGCAGGTTCATTCCTTCAGGAAAGACTACTGAACCTGTTCCAAGAGAACTTGTGTTATTTTGTGTTTTATTCTCTCTAATCTCTTTACTTTCTCTCTATTCCTCTCATTTGTCCAATTATCTATCCATTGGGCGTGACCCAAATGACAATTTGGGATTCAACAAGAGCTAATTAAGGTTTCTTACCAAACTCAAGTAGATGTATTATTATATCGAGAAATATGTGTTTATATGGTAGGGTCTCAAAAAAATCAATCCTGCATATTTGGTTAGTTATCCATGTTTGTCCATGTTCACAAAGTTTAAACTTTTCATACAATCATCAAGCTATTGGGAGCCTTGCACAAATAATCCTTAGTTACTTAAACCTCCAAGTTAAAAATACTTCTTTGTCTTTCGTGAATGATTGAGACCATAGCTAATTACTTTATGAGCAAAAGTTAACCTAAACTGATAAGTAAATCCCAAAAGATGATCATAATGGCTTTTGGCTAGTGATGATTGCATCATAAATTGAAATAAAAAAAAGAAGTTATAAGTTTGATCATATGACGTAGGGCTTCTATGGCTGAACTGGTCCAACCCGAATCAGCTAAAAGGTTTAGGAGCAGCAGGGAGGTTGGACCGGCCTGCTGTTTGGGCGAAAGCTTAGGGCGGATTACCGCCCCCTTTCCCCCCTATTCTCCCACATATCTTATTATATATTTGTTGCTTGCTATTTAGGGTTCAGTTTTGGTTGTATTCTGTTTTCAGATTCCTGCCTCTGGAGTTTCTGCCTTCCAAGATTATATCCGACGACAAGTAGGTGCTCTGACATTAACTCATCCGAGGTGTTGATCTTCTCCAAGGGTGTGAAGGGTGCTCCGGCTGTAACTCACTCCAGCGGGGATAGTTATCCTCTACCCACTGCCATTGCACCTGCACCCCTTCTCCCTGCCGCCATAAGAAGTTATAAGTTTGATCATATGACGTAGGGCTTCTATGGCTGAACTGGTCCAACCCGAATCAGCTAAAAGGTTTAGGAGCAGCAGGGAGGTTGGACCGGCCTGCTGTTTGGGCGAAAGCTTAGGGCGGATTACCGCCCCCTTTCCCCCCTATTCTCCCACATATCTTATTATATATTTGTTGCTTGCTATTTAGGGTTCAGTTTTGGTTGTATTCTGTTTTCAGATTCCTGCCTCTGGAGTTTCTGCCTTCCAAGATTATATCCGACGACAAGTAGGTGCTCTGACATTAACTCATCCGAGGTGTTGATCTTCTCCAAGGGTGTGAAGGGTGCTCCGACAGTAACTCACTCCAGTGGGATAGTTATCCTCTACCTATTCTCCATTCTCTACTCACTGCCATTGCAGCTGCACCCCTTCTCCCTGCCGCCAGTTATTCCCCCACACCTAGCCTCTATCCTGCTGTGAGCCCTCCCTTATCAGCCTCCTTCCCAGCCAAACTCCACTACCAGCCCTTCTAGCCTGCTGTAAACCCCTGCTTCCACCCAACAGCCGAATCCCTCCCAACCAAACTCCAACACCAGCCCCTGTCCTGCCGTGAGCCCCTCCCTATCGAACTACATCTATTACCCCACCCGCATGTCTCCTGTCTCCTCTCCTTCATGTTGCAGTCCAACAACAGTCCTTCCCTTTCCTTCCCTACGGCAGCCAAACCTCTTATCGCCCACCACAGCTCCCACATCTCCCTCCACCTGCAGCCACAACCCTTACAGCCAACCGCAAATCCCAAACCTCGACCAACCCCCTTCCCTACCATCCAGCTGCAACCAAACACCTTTTTGCCTTCACCCTAGGCTGTCTTTGTGTTGTGTCGTTGTTTTCTTATTTCAAGTGTCGTTGTTTGTAATCCTTTTTGAGTTTCAACAATAACATTTGCATTTCTATTGTGATATGGGTTAACTCCGGTATCATCATATATATACCTTTGTTTAGTAAATAGCAAATGCAAAAGACTGAAACATCAAATATCTTCTATGCTTAAACACTGAGTAAAATAAAATCAGCCCACAAGTCCATATGAAAAGAAATAAAGACACATTTGGTAGTTTATGGTGGCAAGAAACATATCTTAGAAAATGATAATTTTATCTTCACTTTGTTTGTGAAAATATTATCAATGCAATTGAGATGATTTGTAAGTTTAAAAGACCTATTCCAAATGAAAATAATGAAGTTCGTTAATTTTAAAATGTATTTTTTTTAATTACAAAAATCAAATGAGCTCAAATAAAATTCAATTGCCTTTTAAATACAACCTAAAAGAGAATATGTAGTTTTTACGGGCACCATTCATGAGTCATACAAGAATATGTACTTGTTTTGTAAATAGAATGTGAAGAGTCAAATATCATATCGTATATAGAAATGGTTAATACCGGAAAGAGCTTGGATTATTAGGCCAAAGTTCAAGATTTCTCCCACTTTCTGGTTCCACTAACAAATAAAGACGATCATTCCAGTCACGGATTTGATCTTTTGTTGCCACAATATCATTTCCATATCCTTCCAACTTAAACTCCTCATCATCCGTGAGGTTCTTGTACTTTCGTTTCTCTTCTTTAGAAAGATAAAAGAACTTTCTTGCCACACTCCGCACCTCATCAAGGAAAGCAGTGGGCATCTCATTGCTCACAACCTGCAATACTAAGTTTTTTGTATTTAAAATATACTTGTTGAGCTTTATGGACAAATTTTTTAGTATGTATGATTCAAGAAAAAAAATATTATTCTTGTACGCTAATAGTTGGAAAAATACACCAAAGATCTTCAAGGAAAGATAGAAGCATCGTGAGAATTTTGATACCAAACATTAATGGACAAAACTTGAATAATATTTATACAAAAAAGTGACTTTCAAAACTTCATCATTCAAAAACATAAAATAGTGAAGATGAAATTTCCTTTGTGATTGTGAACTGAATAACATAGCTATGTAGCGCATAAATGTGAGAAATGACCTCTATGACATATATATGCAAATAAATTTCCCTCGAGAAAATATAAAATAACAATTTAGAAAAAAAGAATTGCCTTTAATGACTTCCCTTTTTAAACAGTGTTTGCCTTAGTCATGAATTTAAACACTAAAGAAAACCTGTAACCCTCGTGAGTTTGAATGGTCTAATACTAATTCAATTATAATAAATTTTTCCTGGTGTAATCTAACTTTTGGAGCATTTAAAAATTACTGATGCAAATCTGAAAATTCTTAATTAGAAACTAATAATTAAAAATGCTGGAGTGGAACGGAGCGAGCAGTGGAGCGGAGTGGAAGAATATGTTCGATTGAATGAGTTTCGTTACGTGGGTTAGGAGTGCGGGGGCAACGCCCTACGGTATGGTACAGAGATAATTTTGTAATTACACATTGTACTTTAGGGTTATATATATATATATATATGTCATGTTTATAACTCTACGAAATAATTCTGTATCTTTTTCTGGAATTGAAATAAAGTATATCCTGTTTGTAATTCTAGGAACATAATTTTGTGCTCTTTTCTGAAATTGAAGGAAAGCCGCCGCTTTGCTCCCGGGGACGTAGACATCTTTTCCGAACCTCGTTAAATCTCTATGTGTTCTTTTGGATTTGTGTCGATTCATGTTTTTCTTTGCCCTAAATTTCTCAAGAAGTGGTATCAGAGGGAGGTTCTAGGGCAGAAAATTTAGGCGCAAGAAGAAGAAGATTTGGCGGCTAGGGTTTCGACGATTCAGAGCGAATTCGACGAAGGATTTTGGCAAGGTTCACGGCAAATTGGATTTCGGTGCAGAGAAAGTTCGAAGATGAAGCGAGCTTCAACGGTTCGGCATCGCGACTAGACAAGGGGCTTCGGTGCTTCAGCGATCGGTCGAAGACGAGGGTTAATCTTTGTGGTTTAGGTAAGCGTAAGTAAGGTTCTTGAATATCTAATTTTTGATAAGTTATTTTATTTTTGTTCTATTATTAAGTTCGTGTTTTGAGATTTATAACTTCTTTCTGGTAAGACGTTGTGTCCTGGTACTTCAGTTAGTAACTGTGAGTGGGACGACAAGATCGCCGAGAATAGTAGGCGCACTGTCCAACTGTAGCAGAGAACAGACGGAGAACAGGAATTACCAGGGTTGCATAGGAACTTATCGCTTGGATTTATGAATTTTAAAATACTAACTTTTAATTAACAGATCTTAACACCTTTTTCAAGAAGCGGATATAAAGATTCCTGAAAGATAAGCCTAAAGCATTTCTATCCCATATAGTTTCTTTTCATAGTTGATGAACGATTGGAAGATTTCGTCTAACATTAGTCATTACAATGCAGCTCTGCAGGCCACAGATTCCCTAGAACCTCCTGTTTTGGGTTTTCTTAATCCCGCAGACGCTAGACAAAGTAGTGTATCTGCTTTAAGCTCAATAGTAAAGCAGAAAGTTCTACTATACAATTATTACTTGTAATTGCAGACAGGTTGTGGACGATTGAAGATAAACTTCAGAGGATAGATCAAATCGAAGCAAAAACAATTGAATCATCTGTTAGTACTTTGCGGAAACAACTCCAAACACTTTCCCTTGAAGGACCTTCAGCTCCACCAAAAATATCTATACCAAAAGGATCCCTTTTTGTTTTTCAAAGTCCTCGTAAGATTTTCTTAAAAGAAAAACAAAAGCTTCCTTAATGGCCTCCACATCCCGATCATCCACTATACTTCAGCCTAATCCATCTGTACGAAACTCCAATACCACTTCTACTTCATCCCCTACTATGATGATCAAATCCGAGTATATCGGATGAGATCCCGTATTGCTTATGAACTACAACGAAAATTAACAAGACGATCTTCATATCAGCGTACACTTGAAAGTCAGCTTCATCCTGAAGCTGAATTACAGATCTTGCAGCAATCAGTGGTGACTGAGCAGGAGTCGGTCCTTATGATCTTCCAAAGAGGAGTCAAGCAAGATACCAAACGAAGTTCTCATCGAGTTTTTGGACATAGCAAAATTGAGGTTCAAGTGTGGTGAGCTAATTTCCCGGTTGGTATCACAAGCTATGGATTCTTTAATTGTAGTTATTTCATCATTAGATTGTAGCTAATTTCACACGGCTTATGTATTAAATTCAACAAGCATCATTCAAATCATGATGGCCTCATTGTGTAATGTAAGTCGATGCACTAAGTTAGATGCAGTTTATCTCTACATGATTTCAAATAAGGGGACACGCTTATGTTTATGTTCATGATTTTGTCCTCCTTGAAGCAACATTGATTTATCAACACCAAATAAAGACAGAACATTAGCACCGTAAGCCTGATGATAACAAAATTTTATTGGTGACATGAGATGGTCTGACCTAGTGTTTGACGGATTTACAATTCAAAAATCTATCTATGCAGATGATAAACCTGGCGATCATATTCTCCCCTAGAGACAAGCTTAAAAAGGAAGATCCAATATAGATTCGGTTGGCTAGCTGAGCTCAAATACCATATGATCCACCAGAAAGTTTCTCAATCAAACCAAATTGAACAATACGGTTCTGAAACAATTATACTTGAGGGTTAACTATAATAAAATTCACCAATAAGGGCTTATTATGCATCGGGTAAGAAATGACACCTGGAACATGCCCCAGGTTTGGAGGGCTAACTTAAGCCGGAGGAGCTCCTCCCCTGCACCAGGCTCGGATAGGCGGCGCAGGTCGATGATGGGAACGCCGGAGGCCGGCTGTGCAGAACCGATGGGACGATTTTCCTCTTTCTGAACAAACTGGGTTGGTATCTCACCGCTGCTCTTAGCGACCAGCTCCTGGACCAGCCTCCCTTCGAACGCCGTATCTACCATATTCCAATTCGTTGAGAGGAAGAGCTCCGTCTTTCCTTCTTCTTCTTCTCCGCTGCTGTTTCTGAATCTTGCTGGACAGTCTGTCTTTTGAGTTATCTCAACTTCAGCATCACAGAGGTCGTTGTTCCGTCATGGAGAATAAAAGTTGGTACCATTAATATATTGATGATTTACAAATATACCTCTCAATTTTTATGTATTTACATATCAACTTGCTTAAATTTTATTTTTGCATACTTGTAGATAAAAAATATATCTCCTTTTTTAAACTTTAAAATAATATAACTATTTTCGTGTAATAAATATGAAAGATTTGGATGGTATAAAATGTAAATATAAAGGTCAAAGTGTAGGTGGTGGATATGTAAATACATAGAAATTGAGTGGTATGCATGTAAATAGCCCTAATTTTTTTCGTATATTTACATAACTAACACTTAAATTTACACAGCATATTTTAATATTTTTTCAGGAACTAAAATGATATAAATAAATATAAAACTTTAAATGGGAGGCGTGTAAATACATAATAATTTTGTGGTATGTATGTAAATCCAAAAATATTGTGTCTTCGTCTTCTACCAGTCCCCAGAATTTAATTATTAATTTTAATATATTTATTTTTAAAAATATTATAAACAATAATGGCATGTTTCATTTAAATAGAAAAATACAATAAAAATTAATGTAGGATAAAATTTTCCTGACTTATTTTATTATTATTATTTAAAATCTATTATGTATGTCTCATAATATTATAATTGAAAATGTATAATCATTATTTATTTTCCTAATTATAATATCAAATAAATTAAATAGAAAATCATAACAAGGCAAAGAGCAATCAAAATAAATAGATGTAATAGATTATAAGGTATATATAATATAGAGTAATGTATTACATGGTAAAGAATTAGCAACAAAAAAATATGATATAACAACTTATAAGATGATTATTATTACATTATATTTAAGCTCTATAATGACAAAAATTATATTATTCTTATTATATAAATTGGAAAGTGGAATATAAAATTATAGAACATGTAAAATTGTATGTGGTGAAGTGTAATTTTGTGAAAATCTTCTAGTTGCATTTTCTATATTTAACATTAATGCGTGCTAGAAAATTCATGGCGGTAGAGTAATAAATTATCGTCTTAGCGTTGCTCAAGAATCCAATACATGCTCAAAAAAAAGAAAACAACTGGTAGAAACATCTGAAGCTTTTACATGGATAACCAAAAAAGGGAAAATATCGCGGGCTTGACCCAGTTATAAAGATCCACTCCCATGGGTGGGAAAATATAACAAAATATCTAGAATTACAATGTCGATGCGCAAATGAACTTGTTACTAGATATGAGTTACACTTAATGGTGATCGGCGGTGACCGACAAGTAGTGGTTGGCTGTGGTTGAAGGTGGTAGGAGTGATGTTGGACTTCAGCTCCTTAAAGTTTCAAGTTTTTCCTCAGACCTCAAGCTCTCTTTTCAGACTTCAAGCTCTCATCTCTCTCATAAAAGAAAAGATTCACTATTTATTGAGTTTTGGGTACAATTAATGCATGAATATTAATTATTTTGATCAAACGGTCAGAAGAGTTTCCTTTAATTAGACATTTGATGAATATTTGTGTGCCTTAACGATGTCACAACTGATCGATTTTGGGATTATTTGATTCATCTTGTCGAGATGCTCAATTCGGCTATAAATTCATCAGATTCAACATCTATTTCACCTTTCAAGTGTGTTCAAATAGCTTTAAAAAATGGGTTAATGACTTGATTAGGACTTGATTTAGTTCAGATTGGACCCATTTTGATACCATTGGGTTCGTCTCATCGAGTCAGTCAATTCAACTATAATTTTGCTGAAATTTAAGTCTTCGTTGACTTTTAATTGAAGTTTAAATATTTCTTGTTCAAAATATTACCTCGAGCCTTAAATTTCAGTCAATTCAATGGTAATGATAAGTATTTGAATTTTTTCGTTATACTAGTTGAATTTACTTTTAATTTCGTTCAAAATATTAGTTGAATTGACTGAACTAGAACTTTTAATTGAAGTTTGTATGCTAGCTCAAGTACCCACTCAAATTATTTTCTATAAACAAATAAATAATATTTCTCGATAAAAATAAGCTGCCGACGTATGGCTCTTTTTTAAATATCTTCAATATTTGAAATACTATGTGAAAATATCTTCTTATCAATATTCAAATGTCTTAATTAAATTACATCTAACAATAATTTATATATTTAAATTGTTAGCATCAACTACATGATTAAATAGTAATTTTTATTAGTCAAGTCATTCAAAAAATAATAAATAAAATTGAAAAAATATTTTATAATATACCATATTTTAAATCTTACTTGAATTCAATATAAAAATGAATAAATAAATAATATTAAACAAAATAATTCTCACACAACTCTTTTCATTTACTGGTGGTTCAAACTCCACCACCTTTTCCCACACAAAAAATTCAACTAATAAGTCCACTTGAGTGATATTCATGAGAATATGTGCATTTTGCATTAATATATCAAAAAAGGATATAAAAACTATGCTTTTGTGCATGTATCATATACAAAAATGAGACATGGTACCTTGCCACAAAAAGTGTGGACGAACATCTAATCGCGATGTAGTATAATACACGGTGTACATTTTAGTGTGAACAGTAAATATATGAATTTTATTGCTAGTCCGTTCATGTGTAACTTTGGTTGTTAGATATGTATGCAAATAAATAAGTATTGTGTGGTATATGTGTAGATTTCTCTCAATTTAGAGTTTGTTTGGAATAGTTGCAGTGGCTAATACAAATGTTAATTTATTTGAAAAAGCCAGACCGTTGCCAAAAAGATGTCACCACACCTAGATAGATGCCGTGTGAAAACACTATTTTCAGCGTTTTCAAAATGCAGTTTACCCAAACATGTCAGTTGCGTTTTCAAAACGCTACCGCATCAAATAAACTGCCCCAATCGGGCCCTTAATTACATCTAACAATAATTAATATTATAAATTTAATTTGTTGGCATCAATTATATGATTAATTAGTCATTATTATTACTCAAGTCAATAAATAATAATAAATAATTTTGAATAATATTATATAATATATCATGTTTTGAATTTTACTTGAAATTCTATTTAAAGATAAAAAGATAAATAGAATTAAACGAAGAAATTCTCTCTCAAATGATTTCCAAAAGAAAAAAGAAAAAAGGACTAATTTTCAAATAATAAATTTGCTTAGAAAAAATCACATGTACTACTTTAATTTCTATTTATTATTATTTTTTATTGATTGAATTATATATATTTATATATATGTATGTATGTATGTATGTATGTATGTATGTATTGAAAGATTTACATTCATGCCACTTAATTCCTAACTTAAGCTTCAAATTTCACATGCATGCCACCTTAACC